GCCCTAAATAAAAATCTCACAGGAACCTGCATTTTTTTCATATCAACTTCAAATTTGGAACATAACTTATTTAGACATAAGGCTATAATTTTATACCAATTTTAGAGTAAAACCTGATATGTAAAATATTTATTATATATAAAATCAAATAAAATTTATATAGTGCATTTTCTTTAGAGTAAATTTAAACTACTATAACTTTTTGATACTTACATTTTTTTGCGATAATCTGCTGATTTTCTTCTTTAAAAAGAGACCAACCTTATGTCGGTATTCCACAGTGTTCATAAATTACAACAATTTAAGTTTGGGTAGTGCACTTTCATGCCTATTTTAAAAAACGGGGGGTGACAATTAAAGGGTTAAACATATGACTTTATTGATCTTTTAGGAGCTTTTTTATTTGTTTTTAGCCACATTTTAACAGCACTCTTATTAGATTATTTAAATTTAATAATGAGATATTTTAATATTTAATTTAAATAAATCTATGATACAATAATAATTTGAATTGACATAACATTCTGGTATTTTAGCATTTTACTTCTGTTACACTATTTAATAACTGGATTTAAATATTTGAATTAAATATCCTGTTTCAAAAACGATGCGATTTAGAAATATGTTGTCAGTTTACATCTTATAATTTTTATTCTGTTCTTTTTTAAAGATTAAATATTTAAATTAGGTTCTAAACTGTGCTTTGCTGGTTGAGAAACAGCTGTGTGAGTAAAAATACCTTACGTTACGTTACGTACAGTTGTGAACTTTTTCAGGAAGCGTAAAGCCGCCAGTGACCTGCAGGCGTCAGTAATGAGTCGCGTCGCTAAAACCTCCGAGCAGCAGAAGAAACGAGTCGATCTGATCTGATCTGATCTGATGGAGACACACAGTTGATCACGCAGTTAAATGCTGAAGTGCATCGATTTGTTGCTCAGGGTTCGGGTTTCTGAAGCGGCTTCTCGTCGGTGATTTGAGTTCTGAGTCTGTGAAATGTCTGTTGTTTTTGTTCCCAAACGGCAGCGCGGAAAAGCGCAAATCAACCAGGAGACAATTCAGAGAGTGAGTGAACATTTCACGGCTTCATACGGTCACGGACACACACACACACACACGCAGTGCGGTTGGTTACGAGAGAGAGAACCTATGTTAGTGAATGTTTGTGTGGGAAAGAACTATCTTCCTGCTCATCTGAACGCAGACCGAATCAATCGATCACAGAGCGCGTTCACTCACTGCTGACAGGGCTGCGTTTCCCAAAAGTATCACAAGAAAGCATTGAGACTACATATACGTTTTGAGTTATTTCACAATAAACTAATTGAAATTGTAGCATGCATGCATTGTGCAGTTACATTGATTTAAATTGAACGTTAAAGGGAGTTCATCCAAAAGTGAAAATTCTGTGATTGATTACTCACCCCTCGTGGCGTTCTTCGGAGCACAAATGAAGATGTTTGGGATGGAGTCTGAGAGCTCTGGTCCTCCACAGAAACACAGTCCATGTGACATCAGGGCTTCAACCTAATTTTACAAAGCTACGAGAATGCTTTTTGTGTGCAAAGAAAACAACAACAACAACAACATTTATTCAACAATTCTTCAGGTCCCTTAGGAAAATTAACCATGGTTTTAAAGGGGTCACATGATGTTGCTAAAAAGAACATTAGTTGGTGTAATGAAATGTTTATGTGGTTTAAGGTTCCAAAAACACATTTTCCACATACTGTACATTATTGTTTCTCCTCTACGCACCACCTTTCTGATTTTTACAAAGCTCATCGGTCTGAAAAGCGAGGTGTGCTGTGATTGGCCAGCTATCCAGTGCGTTGTGATTGGCCGAATTCCTCAAGCGTGTGACGGAAATGTTACGCCCCTCACCATACTGTTGTATTTCCTCAGCGACCAGCACAGATCAGCTCCAGGCATGACGAAGCGGATATCGTCCTCTTTTGGAAGACCAAACAAAGTAGTTTCGCTTTCACAACGAAACACACAGCGTCTTCACATCAGCTCTAGGCATGACGAAGCAGATATCGTCCTCTTTTGGAAGACCAAACAAAGTAGTTTCGCTTTCACAACGAAACACAGCGCCTTCACAACATGGCGGCGGCCGCAACAATACTACAGCGAGAATAAAAGTTACGCCTTCTTTCTTTGCGTGAACATTTGGGCGGCGTTATGCAAATCTTTCCACATAGTGAGGTAGACATGTGGGGGCGTGTTAGAACGAGCCGTTTTAGGTAGGCATGGCTGACTCTTAACTTTTATAAAGAATATCTCTTTGGATTTGAGACTTTAGTCTTTGCAACTTTACAGATCTTCTTTATGCACCAAGAGCTTGTAACACTCCAAAGAGAAAGGAAGAATTGAAATCGCATCATATGACCCCTTTAACATAGTTTAACTATAGTATTTGTAGGTTACCACTACAGGAAACATTTTAACCATGCGTAAACAAAAATATAGCCTAATTGGTTGCAATTAAGCCGTATTGAATGTTAAAATGTTTCAAATATAAAGTTAAGTGGGTATTATTATAAATAATTTCATAATTTAAAAGTTCAGTTTAGAAGTATCGTATTGATATCGACGATACTGGCCTTTAAAAGTATCGTTATCATATCGAAAACAAAATAAGTGGTATCGCCCATCTAGTTACGGGACGTCATACAGCGCGGTATACATTAAACACAAAATGCAAAACAAGAAATTAAGTGCAAGAGTATAGTTGTTTCCGTAATATATTACATAATGATATCTTTCTGCAAGAAGTTTAAATCACGTTTTAAATGGCATTAAAACCATGAGCTCATTAAGATTCAGCTACCATATTCACATATTAATACTTATTCATCTAATAATAGACAAATAACCTTAGCTAGTACACAGGTTTGGATATTTTAAAGCAACAGACTAGACCGTCGAGGCTTTGAAATGGTCATGAAGAACTACATGACATTGCTGTTTCTGATGCAAAAAAATCTATTAGAGTATTTTAATAGTTTGAAATGTTTCGTAAAGTTAGGCTACTAACTGTCTGACATTGTGTTTCCAGCTGCTGGATGAGAACGATCAGCTGGTGCGATGCATCGCCGAGTATCTGCAGAAGGGCCGAGCCGCCGAGTGTGTGCAGTACGTGAGTGTCACACGTGTGTGTTCTCTTCAGATGCTTTCGTGTGCTTCCTGAAGTATGTGCTTTATCATCTCCACAGATACCAGCAGATCCTGCACCGCAACATTGTGTATTTGGGAACCATAGCTGATGCCGGCACAGAGATCCAGCCGGAGACGCAGACCTCAGACGACACCGTCAGTTAGATTCCCTGTTAACATGTTATAATAAGTGTTCATGTACATTCGTATGAGTGAATATAGAATAAAGTCATTTCTGTGCCAAGAGTTGCACCTTACATAATTGGTGGAGATATATATATATATATAAAAAACAAGTCATTCCCTGTTACCAGTAGGTGGCGCAGTGATTATAACTGAATATTGGCATGTAGATGTCTTCAAGCCAGGACTTTGAGGCAGATTGGACATTGTATGCATGAGTTACAACAACTCCCTGTTTGATGGCATTAATAGCATGCTTCTAACATGTTTAGCGCACACTGGCATATTTTACTGTATGGCTAATAGTGCATCACAGTGTTAAAACATGTCACTTCCTGTTGCCAGCAGGTGGCGCTATGACTATAACTGAATCTTGACATGTCAATGTGTTCAGGCCAAGACTCTCATCAAACATGTTAAATTTCGGGCAGATTGGACACTGCATACCTGCATACTGTATTAATATGATGCTTTTCCATGTTTGTAGCATGTTGCTAGCCGTTTAACACTTGCTGAGACTTTTTAATATATTTCTAGAAGTCCATTATGGTGTTAAACATGTCCCTTACTGTTGCCAGCAGGTGGCGCTATGACTATAACTGAATATGGGCATGTTCGTCGAAGTACCAGGCCTGGAAATGGCAAAAACTGCACAAAAATCGTCTTTCTGTTGGGTTTTGTACCAAGAGACGTTTTTGTAGGTAATGGTGTGTTACATGTGTTTTCGTACATGTACGTAAAACGTAGCTTGAGGAGCACTCCGTTGAATGTGTACAGGTGGCGCTATCGAGCCATTTTGCCACAGCCACTTCTGAAACCCATATCAGATGTACATTTCCGCCAGTTCTGACGCGTGTGCAAAGTTTCGAGAGTTTTGGAGCATGTTTAGGCCCTCAAAAATGCAGCATCGGTGCTTGGGCCCTAACTACAATTTACAATACTAATATATATATATATATATATATATATTTTTTTTTTTCCATTTATAGTTTTTCTTTTTTACCACAGAATCGCGTTGGCTGAGAGGAAAAACACTCCAGATGTCCCCGTTGACGAACATTTTTATGTACATAATTTCATGTTTTTAGTTCAATGCTTTGTATAATAAATGTATAAAGCACAATAAACATGCACTTTTATAGAAGCAGCAGACATCCACAGAACATCTGTTTTTATCACTAATTATTTAGCCTTAATTTGATTATGCTTTTAGTTTCTAATAAAAGTGTACTTTAAGCTCCACTTAACATTTGACCATGTTTAAATTCTTTCTGCAGAAAATGCTAATGAGATTCCATCTGGATCGACATATATGTCATTAGAAAGTATTTACACCATGTTTCTGTTTTTTACAAGATTTTCTCTGCAATACAGTAATGAAAATTAGAATTACCAAACCCAACAACGAGGAGAAAATGCGAATGCTAAAAATTTATGCAAAAGAGTCAAAGATGAAATGATAGCAGATGTTGTTATATATTTATTTTTTGCATTGCTGGTACACTTGGAAATAATCAGTTGCCAGCTCTAGTGAACGATAAGCAACATAAGCCAAGCAGTCGCCCCTCATGTCTTCGGTCAGGGCAACATTTTTTTAAACTCCTTTTATTTTTTTGAAGCCACTAGTAAACCATTTTGACACAGCTGAGAAATGTTGAGCGTTACAGTCCAAGGTCATCGAAGATGTTTAATCTTTAAAAAAAAAAAAAATGCCGAAACAGTTTGGGAGGAAAACACGGACGAAGCAACGGACCTATATTTTGATTGTGCAAGCAGGTATGAGGGCCGATGCTCGGGTTTGAGCGGGAAGGTTTTGAAGCCTTTGCTCACGATCTTGTGCTGGGAAACCTGCTGCTGCTGCTGCTGCTGTTGTTGTTGTTGGGTGAACGGGAAGCCGGAGGAGATCCCGGAAGATGGAGGGCAGTCATTAGCCGTCGACCACACCGGAGACTGCAGCAATTGCATGGAATCGCCCCATTGGCTGGAGGGGATGGTCATCTGGTAGAGGGAAGAGCTGGGATTGGGCATGATGTTGGTGTGCGAGGAGTGCTGCCAGGGGGCTTTAGGGGGCCAGGTTTTCGTTTTGCTGTCCTGTAACACAAAGAACACAAGATATATTTACATTTAAATTCATGCATTTTATCTAAAGCAACTTTTATTGCATCCAAGGTACATCATTGGATGCAATGAATGTCCTGGGAATCAAACCCATGACCTGGAAATCGAACCCATGATCTTGCATCCTGGGAATCAAACCCATGACCTGGGAATCAAACTCATTATCTTGAATCCAGGTAATCAACCCCATGACCTGGGAATCTAACCCATGACCTTACATCACATGCTAATCGAACTTATGACCTTGCATCCTGGAAATTGAACCCATGACCTGGGAATCGAACCCATGATCTTGCATCCTGGCAATCGAACCCATGACCTGGGAATCAAACCCATGACCTTACATCAATGGAATCGAACCCATGATCTTGCATCCTGGGAATCAAACCCGTCACCTAGGAATCAAACCCATGATCTTGCATCCTGGGAATAAAACCCATGACCTGGGAATCGAACCCATAATCTTGCATTCTGAGAATCAAACCCATTACCTTGCATCCAGGGAATCAAACCGATGACCTGGGAATCTAACCCATGACCTTGCATCCAGGCAGGGGCGGACTTATCCAACAAGCGAGGTAAGCGGCCGCTTGGTGCCCCGGGGAATCAGGGGGCCCCATCTGATATTGCCGAAACATATTTGCAGCGTTGAACAATGTAGCAATCACAGACATATCTGTTAAACGCAATGACCAGAAGTGTCCAAGTTAGAATCCACGCACCGCTCAAAATGCTGCGTTTGTTGAGTTCTGCAAGCTCGGGAATCCTCTCATTATAACAAAGTGTAGATACGATGTAAATAAGAGATTAATTGTGCAGTGTAGAGAGTTTATTAACAGAACGTCATGAGATCGCAATGAACTGAAGTGAGTGACAGCTTTAGTGATTATATGAGGGAGCGCACTTTGTGCGCATTCTAGGCAGTATAATACTGTCTGACTGTCTCAGAACAGAGATATTCACCTCAGTAAGTATTGTGTTTCAATTCATAATTTTATGTGTCTTGATGTTTCAAAATTACTCTCTTTTGTGCTTTTCCTTGGTGCGCCGGCGCAAACTGCCACGCACTTGTATAAAATGCACAAATGCAATGACTGGAGATTTTCGCTTAATAATAGATTACATTTTTTATTTGTTTCTTGGCAAACCCTACCGTATGCCTTTAAGAACACTTGGAATATGGAATGAGTTGTATGGGATACTTTCATGTTTGTAAAAAGATTGAATAAGTTTACAATTCATTAAAGCTGCAGTCTGTAAGTTTTGCCTCTTGGTCGCCATCTCTGTTTGAAAACCTGGAATTGCAGTTACTTGCGGAATTATCTTTCTTGCGTGGGTTGTACTCTGGCGCGGCTCCAGCGTGGATGAATCTAATGTTTTGAGGAGTATGTGTGTGGCAGTCAGTCACCGCACCGGTGTGAATCCTATATCCTAATCACAGATTCTAGTCAACGTCTTGGAATATATGACCCAAATAAGACTTTTCACCATATATTGTCATCTGAACGTTTGTTTTGACCAACTGAGGAAAAAAGCATTACAATAAATCGCACTACCAATGGTGATTTAAACTAACGATCGATTATCTCATATCACATCAAACCGTGCAAATAATTTTTATTGTTATACTTTGTTCTCCCTTTGTTAATGTTAACAACATCAGCATTGCGTGACTATGAGTATAGTGTGTATTAGTGTGTAGATTTCAATTTCTGCACAGTCTAATCTCTAATTGTCATGCCATTCGAATTTCATATTAAGAAATTATTTTAAGCCAAAAAGAAAAGTATGCTCCCTTCGAACTGGTTGTCTTTAAAACACAAATCTTGTGTAATCCCAGGCTATATGTAATCAGAAGCACATTTAAAACTGAAATATAATTTAATTTCAATCACATGTGCTTCATAAACACAATCCTCTCTGGATTACAATCCGCCATCAAAATGATACATTTAATTACTCCCGCTGCTGTGAGAAAAGGCTATAAACGATCCGCCAGCTGCAGGATCCTCACATGCGATAGCCTACTAGCCGGGACAACTTCTTTATGTTTACAGACGTGACGTAATGACGTAGCAGCATGCTTGAATTTCCCGCGAAAACCAACCCGTACCACTCAAATTAGAAAACATTATAATAAGCTAACCGTTGTGAATCGGGCTAAAGTAAGGCGATAGTTTTGAACACTGGCTGGTTTATGTACTTGCTCAAATATTGATTTTGGATCATTTTTAACCAAAAAAAGTTACGGACTGCAGCTTTAAATGGACAAGTGCAAGCGTTTTTTTTTATCATCATCATCTTTTGTAATCCGAAAAAAAAACAAAGGTTTAGAACAGCATCAGGTTGACTAATTACTGGTTGTGAAGGGATAAATAAACTAGAAACTATGAGAGCGAGCGAGCAAAATAAGGGTTAGGCGTAAAAGAGCACATAGGCTAGTTATTGTATTGGGGCCCCATACCTAGAATTTGCTTAGGGCCCCCAAATCCCCAAGTCCGCCCCTGCATCCAGGGTATCAACCCCATGACCTGGGAATCAAACCCATGATCTTGCAACCTGGGAATCTAACCCATGACCCTGGCATTGATAATGCCATACTACTATTTGAGTTATTGGTAAGTTTGTTATAAAGCTTCATATAAAGCAAAACAATGCCAATGCAAAGAAAACACAACAGCGGAAGGGTCAAAGACAAATACTGATGTTCACAATGGTTTTAAGTATTTAAAAAGTTTCCAAAAACAAAAGCATTCCATTTCTGAGAAATGTACTCTTTGTATTCATGGTGGCCTGATGTTATTTAAATCTTTTTCCACATAATTTTAAAATACGTTTAATTTTAATATAAAAATTTTATTTTATTTTTGCTGAAAGACAATCGACTCATGCAACAAGAGTTGACCAACTGGATCATTCCTTCACAACTTTATAACCTAAACTTTAACACCGAATACAATATAAAGCTTGTCTTAAGTTAATTTGACAGCATTTTAACAACACATCAAGATTACATGTTCTCTAAACAAAAACTGCTGTTTTCAAATAAAAACAAACAAACAATGTAATGTATAAACAAAAAATATTTACAATAACAGCTGTATATGAGAAAACACCCACTGTTAAACTCCACCTCTTATTATGATGGAATATATGTGTTTATTAGTTGAAGTGGCATCAGAGAGTCATTAGTACCTGGTTACTGTCGTCACTGGCGTGGTGGAGCGGAGGAGAGGGCAGAGTGCACACTTCCTGTTCACCACAGCTGTGTTTCCTAAAAAACACACTCAACATGAGGGACGCACTCATCTCAAACACACCATCCGGATGAATGGTTTCGGATGAAACTGTCTGATAAAAAGATTAAATGTTTGTTACCGTCTTTGTTTAACAGCTGCTACCAAGTCAGGCCCAGAGAACATGGAGAACAGACTGTCCCCATTGGCTGAGGACGCCTCGTCACTCGAGCTGGCTGAATCCCCCTGATTGGCTGACCAGCCGCTGTTGACCGCCTCTCTGCTCGAAAACAAACATTGATATCAACATATACAACTATTAACGGCAATATTTACACTACCGGTCCAAAGTTAGGAATAATTAAGTTTAAAAAATTTTTTTTAATGAAGTCTCTTCTGCTCACTAAGTCTGCATTTATTCAATCAAAAATACAGTAAAATTGTGAAATATAATTTTTTTTATGTGAATATAAAATTTAATTTATTTCAGTAATCAAAGTTGAATTTTCAGCATCATTCCTCCAGTCTTCAGTGTCACATGATCCTTCAGAAATCATTCTAATATGCTGATGTGCTGCTCAAGAAACATTTCTGATTATTATGAAAACAGTTGTGCTGCTTCATATTTTTGTGGAAACCATGATGCATTTTATTTCTCAGGATTGTATGATGAACAGAAATATATTATATGGATACTCCTACTTCATCTCCAACTTGCACATAAGCATAATTGCAACACTAACATTTGCTTTGCAGATTGTAGCATCCAAATTGCAGGGGATAAACTAGGGCTGCACGATTAATCAAATGCGATTGTCATGCACATCTTGTCAGTAAAGCCGGTTCTAGTAGTAAATCTCCATCACCTGCTTTCAGATGAAGCAGCATTTAATACAAAGAGCCGTAGTTCTCTGACAAGCAACGCAAAAAAAATCGCAGACAACATAATCGTACGATTATGAAATCGAAGAAATCGCTCGCGGTAATGACAGCTGTTTGTGTAGCTTGTCAGTGAACTACGGCTCTGTGTAGTAAATGCTGCTCCATCTGAAAGCACGTGAAAATACCACATTTAATAACATGCTTTTACTCCAAACTCACTTCATAACGTCAGCCGAGTGTTTGAAATAAATCCTTCTGTGAGATGATGTGGCTTCTTACACCGAATAAGGCACGCAACATATTTCATAGTATTCTAAGCAGTGATAAAAGCTATGTCGATTAGCATTGCATTATAGACATACTTTATTATAATGAAAATTATAATAAGAACTCAGATAAACCATGTATTGCCATAGTAATGTATTTATTAGTCAAGTTGAATCAATGAAAGCAGTTAAAACTTCTGTTTATTCAGCAACCCCTATAGGGATTTCCTGGGTTTCTTCTGCGGGGTGTATTTGGACTTTCCGTGCGAGAGCGCCCTCTGGCCTTCGGATGGAGATTTACTACTGATCATAGAACCGTGCTTCACTGAAAGATACGCATGACAATCGCAGCCTCTGTCTAATCATTATTTCGATATCAATTCGATTTATCGTGCAGCCCTAGGATAAACAATGCTGTGCAATACTAGTGTCTGTTATGCAGGTGCACGATTGTCAACAGAGGATCATTACTGTGATTTACACGTCTGTCTCACTGAATGATTGATAAATGGATTTTAGCATGCCAATTTCAGACTATTTTATGTACTTAAAAATGAAATGCATCAGAAATCAGAGTTATAGAAGCTTACAATTTTCACGTCAAGTTGCACTTCAAGCGTAACTCTATTGCACTTTACTAAGAAGATGGAAACTGGACACTGAAACAATTCATGATGAGATGCTGTGCTGTGATTGGTCAGACCGTCTCACCCCTCGCTGTAGTACTCTGGGTGTGTCCAGCCCCTGTGCTGCTCGTCTGGGTGTGGCCAGTTACTGCGGGTGTTGCTGGGCCGACGAACATGCTTCGCCTGTCGTTTTTGCTGCATGGCCTGATTGACCCCGGCAACATAACGCGCAAACTCTGGATCCGAGCCCACTGACGGAGAGACAGAGATAGAGAGAGAGAGTGATGTGTGTCACTTTGTCCTGCTCTTTGTTTAAACTGTCCAGCACAGCAGAAACACATAATAGAGTCCAACACACACACATGCACCACTAATGCACTAAAGTGACCTGATGCATCACAGGAACCACTACATACACCCACACTCACACAGTATAAAAACCATGGCATTTTTAACAATGCGTAATGAGAAAACACTTTTGAATAAGTAACTCAATTGTGTTGTGATGTGACAACCCCTCTTATTATGTGCATTCAAGTGTTAGCATCTAACTAAGTTCATTACATTAAAATTACACTGTCATTTTGATGTATTCTTTCAGAGCAATTCATTATAAAGAAAATATTGCAATAAAAGTAATGCAATTAATCAGATGGAGATGGAGACATGAACACATCTCGGCTTTATATGTGTAAAAACTACTGTGGCGGCTTCAGTCTTTCAATCCTCACCAGAACAAGGGGTCGTGGGCAATATTAGCTCAAAAAGCATGTATGCATAAAAATCCAGTAAAAATAGTACAGCAGTAGCAGTAAGATGGAAACTGGACACTGAAACAATTCATGATGAGATGCTGTGCTGTGATTGGTCAGACCGTCTCACCCCTCGCTGTAGTACTCTGGGTGTGTCCAGCCCCTGTGCTGCTCGTCTGGGTGTGGCCAGTTACTGCGGGTGTTGCTGGGCCGACGAACATGCTGCGCCTGTCGTTTTTGCTGCATGGCCTGATTGACCCCGGCAACATAACGCGCAAACTCTGGATCCGAGCCCACTGACGGAGAGACAGAGATAGAGAGAGAGAGTGATGTGTGTCGCTTTGTCCTGCTCTTTGTTTAAACTGTCCAGCACAGCAGAAACACATAATAGAGTCCAACACACACACATGCACCACTAATGCACTAAAGTGACCTGATGCATCACAGGAACCACTACATACACACACACTCACACAGTATAAAAACCATGGCATTTTTAACAATGCGTAATGAGAAAACACTTTTGAATAAGTAACTCAATTGTGTTGTGATGTGACAACCCCTCTTATTATGTGCATTCAAGTGTTAGCATCTAACTAAGTTCATTACATTAAAATTACACTGTCATTTTGATGTATTCTTTCAGAGCAATTCATTATAAAGAAAATATTGCAATAAAAGTAATGCAATTAATCAGATGGAGATGGAGACATGAACACATCTCGGCTTTATATGTGTAAAAACTACTGTGGCGGCTTCAGTCTTTCAATCCTCACCAGAACAAGGGGTCGTGGGCAATATTAGCTCAAAAAGCATGTATGCATAAAAATCCAGTAAAAATAGTACAGCAGTAGCAGTACAATAAAATAAGTATGTCATGATGATATTAAAAAATGTCCGCTTTAAATGTATAAACCAGTTTTGATAAAAATAGGATAGTTTTGTGAACTGATAGCATTATATATATACAGACGCACATAAAATACACACACTTTAAACTTGAAATAAAGCTAAATTCTAAAATATGCATATTAGATGTGAAACGTAAATTTTTTTTTTGAAATTTTGCAACTAAAATAAATTGGTTAAGTATGAAAATTACTAAAACTGAAATAAAAAAAGTAAATTTTAAAAAAAAGTAAAAAAAAAAAATAATTCTAAAAAAACTAATCACTAAAGTATAAAAATATTACAAAAAAAAACAATATTTAAAAAAATTTTTTAAGAAAAAATAGTTCTTACATTCTTATGCTGCATATACATGTAAAAATGCCTTTTTAGCTGGGACTCACATATTCGATTTTTTTTATTTTTTTATTTTAATTTTCATTTAGTACTTTCTTGTACGTTTGTCATTTTATTTGTAATTTTACTGTATTTTTGCAATATTTCTATCTATTTATATATATATATATATATATATATATATATATATATATATATAAAAAATTTAAAATAGTCATTATATATATATATATATATATATAGCTAAATGTAAAATGTTCAGAATAGTCATTCCCTTCCCTTCCCTGCGGCAAAGTTTTGTTCTCATGAGTTTTGCTCTCTGAACCTGTCTGAACTGACCACTCTCTGCTCACCTGCAGGGTCAAAAGGCATGGAGTCTCCCAACACCCCGAACAGACTCTGGTCACTTTGGTCTCGGTTGGGCCAGGTGTTGTTCCGGGGTCCCTGCGGGGGCTTGTGGCCAAGCATCTCAGACATCATGCTGTCCATGTACGTACTGACCAGCCCCAGACTGTAGAGGTCAGAGCTGAGGTCCGGCAGGCCTGGGGCAGGCCACTGCGTCAAGGGCCCGATGGGCGAGAGGCCCCCTAAAGACCCCTGGGGCCACTTGCTGGGAGCTCTAGGCTGCGGGGGCTGCTGTGAAGAGAGCTGCGGGGAAACCGGCGCCGTTTGCTGCGGCTGACCGATCGGCTGCAAGAGATGCTGGTAGAACGGCAGAGTCTGCGAGGTCGGCTGGGACTGCGGCTGCGTTTGCTGCTGTTTTGGCGTTGAAGGAAGCTGCTGTTGTTGCTGCTGCTGCTGCTGTTGTTGTTGTTGTGTTGGTTGCAGCAAGGTTTGCGCCAACACTTGAGACAGCGAGGGGGGTGGAGCCGCGCCGCTGGGCGGCTTCAAGTCGGCCGCATTCGTAGACGCCACCGAGTTCCTCCTCTTCACCAGCGGAGACGCCTGCTGGGATTTCCCCATGTTGAACCCCGATAGGAAGTCGATGACGTCTTGCATCTCCTGGTCGGTGGGCAGGTTCATGCCCTGCTCGTCTGCGGATGCGCCGTTGGCGATCTGCGCGTGGCTGGGGTCAGGTGTGCACAGCATGCTGCTCATCTGCAGGAGGCTGTGCAGGCGGCTGGCTTTGTCGTCCGAGCTACCGCTGCTCCGTGACGGGGTGCTGGGGATGGAGTAGCTGCCGCCTGTGCTGGAGTTGGACGAGGTTTTCTTGGTGAAGCGTGAGGTGAGTTTGGAGATGGTTTTGGGGAGGCCGCCGGAGGATTTGGTGCTGTTCCCGGGAGGAAGATCGATGGGGCCGCCGTAATCAGTCGTGTCTCGTTGTAGCTGGATCTGAATGGTGGGCAAACTCTGTTCCCTGCGCACAGAAACACCAGCAAGCAATTACATCATCAATCTATGTTATTTTAATATCATGGAGCGCACTAAGGTATGAAGTTATGATTGCAGCACTAATGCTGACACTGACTTGCGCTCCTTCCAGCGCTGGAGGTCAAACACAGCCGTGTAAAGCACGTCCACCAAGCCGAGGGTCTTCTCGGGATCCAGACTGCGCTGCAGCAGAGACATCGTCGCTGGATCCTCCTTCAGACACCTGCAAGACAAAAAGTACATTTAGAAGATAAGATTAGACTTCACTGTTATCCATTTTACTTTACAGTTTTATTTTATTTCACCAGGAAAGGCTGTTCTCACGCTAAGCTTAGCAGCAGAGAAAATAGATCAAACAAATAAAATACAAAATCTTTTTTTTATTTTTTATTTAACTATATTTTTCTCACAACAATATAAGTCTAGCAATTATATAACTTCTTTCAGTTGAATATTTAATAGAAAATAGGATGCTTTTCCTGAAACTGTCTCAAATTGACCCAAATTAACAAGGGTTAATATCTTCATTAAGAGCATAATGGTTTATTTTATTCACACACAGCATTAATCATCTTTACTTTGAATAAATGGCAAATAAAGCATCTTGAACTCTAGTAACCTGCAGCCAGAGAGGATGTGGATCTACTGACGGTGCTACTCAGATTCAATTAACTGCTATAATTACCATAAATATTGCCGTATACGGTTACTCACCATGTAGAAGGAACCTGGATCACAACTTTAAATCCTTCAAGAGAGATCTGAGGGGCGTAAGCTTCCTTATTCTCAATCTGAGCCGTGTCAACCACAACCTGCACACACACACACACACACACACACGTCATCAGGTTTAATAACTGTACTGTACACACCGTCATGAAGATCTGCCAGTATAAATGATGTGTTGCTCGTTCAGTGATCATAATCAATCATTTCTCAGACAAACTAAGTGGACGCTTGAGAGCCCCAGTAACCCGGCTTTTCATCCTGTCAGAGAGCCATTTCCATCCGAAAACACAAATGCAACATTTCCCACAGTTCTTGAAAAGAGGCTGTGAACCCGGGGCAGGCCACTGCGTCAAGGGCCCGATGGGCGAGAGGCCCCCTAAAGGCCCCTGGGGCCACTTGCTGGGAGCTCTAGGCTGCGGGGGCTGCTGTGAAGAGAGCTGCGGGGAAACCGGCGCCGTTTGCTGCGGCTGACCGATCGGCTGCAAGAGATGCTGGTAGAACGGCAGAGTCTGCGAGGTCGGCTGGGACTGCGGCTGCGTTTGCTGCTGTTTTGGCGTTGAAGGAAGCTGCTGTTGTTGCTGCTGCTGCTGCTGTTGTTGTTGTTGTGTTGGTTGCAGCAAGGTTTGCGCCAACACTTGAGACAGCGAGGGGGGTGGAGCCGCGCCGCTGGGCGGCTTCAAGTCGGCCGCATTCGTAGACGCCACCGAGTTCCTCCTCTTCACCAGCGGAGACGCCTGCTGGGATTTCCCCATGTTGAACCCCGATAGGAAGTCGATGACGTCTTGCATCTCCTGGTCGGTGGGCAGGTTCATGCCCTGCTCGTCTGCGGATGCGCCGTTGGCGATCTGCGCGTGGCTGGGGTCAGGTGTGCACAGCATGCTGCTCATCTGCAGGAGGCTGTGCAGGCGGCTGGCTTTGTCGTCCGAGCTACCGCTGCTCCGTGACGGGGTGCTGGGGATGGAGTAGCTGCCGCCTGTGCTGGAGTTGGACGAGGTTTTCTTGGTGAAGCGTGAGGTGAGTTTGGAGATGGTTTTGGGGAGGCCGCCGGAAGATTTGGTGCTGTTCCCCGGAGGGAGATCGACGGGGCCGCCGTAATCAGTCGTGTCTCGTTGTAGCTGGATCTGAATGGTGGGCAAAGTCTGTTCCCTGCGCACAGAAACACCAGCAAATAAATTATTATTATTATTTTAGTATCATGAAGGTGCTATTATAGTTTGTATTCAAATTTTGAATTAGTTTTTAACTTTTCCATTTTATTTTTAAAGTATTTTTTTATTTTTATATAGCTTTTATTGATTTTATTTCAGCTTTAAAGGGCACCTATTATGCAAAATTCACTTTCACATGTTTTTTGGACATAAATGTGTATTGGCAGTGTGCACACAACCACCCTATAATGCTAAAAATCTGCCCGCCCTTTTTTTTTTTAAATCTCCATGTATCATTAGCAGCATCTCAGAGCAAGCCGATCACAGAATCTGTGAAAAAGGAGGATGTCACAATTTACCAGCCCCACCCACGATTGTTGATTTGACACTGCCATAAGCTAGCCGAGACCCCGCCCTGAGTGAGCCGCACACAATCCACCATGTTTATCTTCATGCTAGAGCGTTTAAAAGCAGCATTCAAGTAAGCAATATCTTCTTATTAAGGCGTTATTCAGTCCAGAGCAGTAAGTGATTCTCTGCTTATATTAAATTTTCTGCACACACTGTCATGAAGATCTGCCAGTATAAATCATGTGTTGCTCGTCCAGTGATCATAATCAATCCTTTACAGTCAAACTAATGCCAAGTGGATGCTTGAGAGCCCCAGTAACCCGACTTTTCATCACTGTCAGGAGCCATTTCCATCCGAAAACACAAATGAAACATTTCCCACAGTTCTTGAAAAGAGGCCGTGAAGCCACAGCATGCAGTTGCATTTGAAAGGGAGAGGGCGTTTCCTATCAAACAGGAAGTGGGCTATTGTTATTAATAGCGCAGGTGTATCCTCAATGTGACTCAACTGATGGCGACTCTCCACTAAAAACACACACACGCCCAAAGGTCACGGTCACTCTGACCACACACACGGCAAGGACAGAAACAGAGTCATGGAAACCACTTTATGATTATTCAGAAATCATTTTCCTGTAGCCGGAGGCCTTTTTCAAATCCTCATTATTCAGACTTTCATTCTTTCTTTCATGTGAACGTTGCTGACAGTGAACCAATAAAGCTATTCTGGAATATCAAGGTTATAATAGAAAACTAAAACCATACAACACATTTTTGTTACTTGAAATAAACGTAAAAAATATATACATATATAAAAAATACAAAAGATAAACTTTTTATTTCAGCATGTTGCTGAATATATGTGACCCTGGACCACAAAACCAGTCATAAGGGTAAATTTTTTAAAATTGAGATTTATACAGCTGAATAAATAAACTTTCCATTGACGTATGGTTTGTTAGGATAGGACAATATTTGGCCGAGATACAACTATTTGAAAATCTGGAATCTGAGGGTGCAAAAAAATCTAAATATTGAGAAAATCATCTTTAAAGTTGTCCAAATGAAGTTCTCAGCAATGCATATTACTAATCAAAAATTAAGTTTTGATATATTTACAGTAGGAAATTTACTAAATATCTTTACTTAATGTCCTAATGATTTTTGGCGTAAAAGAAAAATCTATAATTTTGACCCATACAATGTATTTTTGGCTATTGCTACAAATATACCTCAGCGACTTAAGACTGGTTTTGTCCTCCAGGGTCACATATGAAATAAAAATTAAACATTATTATACACATTTTAAAAATAACAAAATTACAAAAACATTACATTTAAAATAAAAAAGAAAATTTTTAAATAAAAACTAATTTAAAATGATAAAAAGTAAACTGCCTTGAATGCATTAAAACAATGCAAGTTGCTTTGGATAAAATACATACATGTAAATGCAAGACAAAAAAAAAAAAAAAGTGAACGTTGGTTGACGGTTTTACGCATGTCTTCCTGTCCAAGTGGTCCGTTCCTGTCTGGAATAAGCTGCAATGTGGATCAGACTTTATGCTCTTTGTCAAATGTGTGAAACTCACCAGTCCAGCCTGTCCAAACAGCAGCTGAACGGCCGTCTTACAGGCTCCTCTCCAGCTGGAGGGACACACCTGGTTCAGCACCTCTGTGACGGGCGAATCATCTCGCACGGCCACACCGTTCTGATCCACCGCATCCTTGAGCAGCTGCAGCATGGCATGCTGGGAAGAGATTATATTAAATGAAATAAGATGATTCTTTTTACTGTAATGTGCATGAATGTTTTACTGTACTACTCAACAAATTTGAGGTCGGTAAGATGTTTTTGAAAGTCTCTTCTGCTCATCAAAGCTGCATTTATTTAATCAAAATATTATTAAAATTGAAAATAACTCTCTTCTATCTGAATATATTGTAAAATGTAATTTATTTCTGTGATGTGCAGCTGAATTTGTCACATGATTGTTCAGAAATCATTCTAATATTCTGATTTGCTGCTCAAGAAACATTTCTGATTTTTATCATCCTCAATGTTGAAAACAGCTGTGCTGCTTCATATTTTTGTGGAAACTGTGATACATTTTATTTTTCAGGATTCTTTGATGAATAGAAAGTTCAAAAGAACAGCATTTATTTGAAATATAAATCTTTTGTAACATTATATATGTCTTAACTGTCACTTTTGATCAATGTAATGCATCCCTGCTGAATAAAAATATTGATTTTTCAAAAAGGTCTCAAAATGAAAATGCGCCTAATTGTAATATCAATAAAGAAAAACTGCTAAATGGTCTTAAAAAGGCCTAATTTTCTTGTTTTGGATGTGAAATATGAGGCAGATGTGATATGCACATAACAGTGGTTAAAACAAACAGTCTGAGATGTGCTAGATTTATCCTCTTATTTTTGTACTCGCTTTCATGGAAAACACTTCCAGTCGGGACCGCATCCCATCTCTAGTCATCAATCAGAAGTGTGTGTTCTGAGTACCGTTTTAAGCTTGAGGTTATCTGATGCGCTTTCATTGAAGGAAACTCCTCGGAGGAGATGAGAGCCGATCTGGACGGGGATTGTGGGTAATTCACACTGGATGGGCTGAGACGTGGTGTGAAAGCGTCCGGCCTGCTGGGCCTCAGCGTCACTACAGCAGCCCTGCAAAAACGCATAATAAAATCACGTGACTCACCCAGATACATGAAAACAAAGTCATGTTTACAAGTAACAGGCTGCAAAATGAGCAGTTCTGTAGAAGAAGAATGAATCGAAAGGTTACAAAGTTCAACGTTCCATTTGAAGCAATGAGGTTGCTTGTTTAACATGTTAAGACGGTTTCTCCTTGTCTAACCGAACAGTTCTTATCCAGAATATGATGCACGGTGGATCACACAAGATGTAGACAGTCAAACGTCTGTCCCTGTGCGACTGCGGAACACATGCAGCTCCAGAAAGCAGCTTTAATCTGTACTAAGCTGTAATTCCACACACGGCAAACATGCCTGCAAAGCTGCTTCCACTGATTTGGGATTAAGGTGAAATCCGGCCTTCAGAGCATATTCACTGTGACCCAAAGAGTCTAACGCCACTTTATACGCCTGCAACACACACACACAGAGAGACTTATTAATGTCAGTGGCTCAAAATAAGCCTCATTATAATCAGAATAACATGTAATTTACTTTATACATTTTTACAACATTATAAAGCATAGTCTTGCAGGTGATCAACAAATTCTTAAAAGCAAATACATATGGAAAGTTTTGTTACATTATTCCACATAAATAGATTATGGTCCACAAATAAATGTAACGAGAAAGATAAAAAGTAAACATAGAATGAGAGGAGTTTCACTAAAATTAATTAAATTCACCAATAAATACAATGAGATTTGCAAAGAAAATAAAAAACATTCACAATCTTTTTATGTCACAAACACAACTTTGTCTGGCCTTCATTTGTGAATCACATCCTGATGGTTTGTAGATTGGCTTTTAAAACTAAGAATATAATATTCTGGTGTTTGCATTAAATGAAATTAACAAAAGTGATTTTATAAACATAGAAAGCATATTAAATGCAAGTAAAGTGTCTACTTTAATGTTTCAAATAACTTTTGTGAAGATGTCAAAATATGGGTGAAATTATTTTCGATAATCATTCAGCATAACAGATATATTTATGTAAAAATTAAACATGCAAATCCTGACCTGTACTACTTGTACATCTATTGTAGAATATGTGAGAATAAGTAAAACTTGATGACAAATAGGGGGAAACCTAGTGTTTTGAAGGATAGTGACAAAGACTGGTAAAGATTTAAAATGACAATGAACTATGCTTTGGGAGCTTGAAGGAGATCCATGTTCATTTATTATGATTTTACGTCACGAACTACAACTGTAATAACTGTATTAACTGTCTGTGTGTGTGTGTGTCTGTGTGTGTGTGTGTGTGTGTGTGCTCACCTGCAGAGCGCTGTCGATATTGGCGTTGAGCTCTTTGAGCTGGTGTTCAGGGATGGAGGTGTTCTGAGAACAGAAGAGCTGCTGCACCTGAATGCCAGACAGACAGCCGTCTCTCCCTCTCTCCCTGAGACACGCTGTCACCTGAAGCACACACACGCCTGGTTAACTCAGCGTTTATTTGATCTGAAAGTATTTAGCTAAGTATTTGAGGTAGTATGTAGCCCGAACTGAATAGGAAGACAAAGAGACTTTGCAAAATCCTATCTAGACAATAAATGGGTGAATCTCACAAAAAAATAAGACATATTTTTAATAAAATATAATAATATCTAATTAAACATCAATAAAATTTGTTACATTTTATTTAACTATGTTCTAAAATATAATTCATTTAATTCAAACATTTTCAAATGATTTTGTAAGGGTTTGATGACTAAAATGCACACTTTTTTCTTTGCTTTATAAAGTAGTTTACTTATATTTTAACTGAACAGGATGACGTCACAAAATTAATTCTATATATATACTGTATGTATAAATATATATATATATATTTAAAGTAAATTTTAAAGTACATTTTTAGAGGGTCAACCATTTTAGTTTTTTAGACTTTTTCTCATATGGAGGGTCAACATATGAAAAACAGGTTGGTTGATTGTGCATTGATTGATGGTGTTTGTACCTCTGAAGCTCCCTTCCATGAGCGGACAGCCTCCTCCAGCTCCGTCAGGGGCCCAGGGCCCGTGTTCTGTGTTTGGGCATTTCCATGTCTCTCCTGAACCTGCGCCAGTGCCTCGGCCAGACAGGACTGCGCCACCGGCTGGACTTTCTGCAACGCCTGTGACAGGAACTGGAAATGCACCTGCATCACCGTCAGGAAGCAGCGGCCCAGCACCTGAGAAAGAGAGTCATATTAAACCTTTAACCACAAAACACAGCATCAAAACTGACTTGATCCTTAATTCAGGCTCTATTAAAGGGAGAATTCACCCAAAAATGTTTATTCAGCCATCTTTTACATTTATAAAAAATAAAAAATAATACTATGAAAGTCAATGGGTACCGTCAACTATTTGGCTACCATCATTCTTCCAAATATCTTCTTGTGTATAACAGAAGAAACAAACTCATACAGGTTTGGAAAAAATCTGGGGTGAGAACGACAACCGAATTTGCGTGAACTATCCCTTTAGATCGGTTATATTTTTGCACAAATTAAAGCATGTTTTCCAATGTAATTTTGTTTGGATTCTGTTTTAATGGCTTATTTAAATTTTAATAACTAACAACCATGTCCAATATAAAATTCATAAAACTTGAACAAGTTTATAATTTAAACTTTTTTTATTTATTTATTCATTCATTTATTTTTACAATAACCAGGCTATATGAAACATTTTATTTTTTCAGTCCCCCCCCCCCTCAGAAAAAACGTCTATTAAAATTTTTCTGGATTTAAGCTTTAACACACATTTATAAACAAATGAAGGCATAAAATATGAACAACATCACTGTATAAAAAATGTAATCAAAGGATAATTTAACAATTCCTTTTATTTTTGGCAAACAACAGAGGATTACATTAAAACAGAAGAAAAATAAGCCTGATATATTTTTTAATAATGTAATTATTATTAAGCATGCTAATCTGCAGGGGAAAAGTCTCCTTTGACCAAAAAAGGCCACACAAGCTGATGTTCAGACATAAAACAAAACAAAATACCTGAAAAGGTTGCACAGAAAAAGAAAGCAGGGAACATTTTTTTTTTTGAGAATGAAATAAAGAGGTGTGACATGTTTCTCAGCTTTCCTTATGACTTATGGCCAGAAACAGGCACATACATCTGGTGCTGATGTTTTGTTAATAAGCAGAACTAAAACCACAAACCAAATGAGGCAAGAAACCCACCGAGGTCAACGCAGCAGACTGCGCTCGATGTTCCGGGAAACGGTGGTCGATCCCGATAGTAATGAGAGCGTTCTGAACATTCCCAGACACAGATGCATTCTAGCAGATTTACAGAGTTACTGCCGTATCGCTTCCTAAATAGGGAGTCTTTCCTGACTCGCGTCTTACTCATCAAGACGAGAGCGCGGAGACAAGCTCGTAAAAATAATGAAATAAAGACACAGGATCAGCATCTGCTCAAACCACTTCAGTCACTTCGCTGATTGGCTCTGTGTATGTTTTCAATAAATAACTTGAATTTTGTAGATCGACAGAAAGAGTCAGAATTGCGATGCATGACTTGATTCTTTCCCTCAAACTGTTCATAAAGAGAGAAGGCAGGAGACAGGCCTGTCACCCCCACCACAGCAGAAAGGGTTTCTTTTACAGGTATCTGCTCAAAATATCTACAGGCCAAGTTGTAAAGACAGAAATATGCCGTCTTGTGCAACAGGAGACAGGAAAAACAAGGCGATGCCAGTTTCAGTCTTTCACCCCTCACGCAGAAACACCTGAGAGCCGACAGCGTATATAGGAACCTGCTTTAAAAATTAGCTCAAGACAGATTTGGACACACTGCTAATAAGGGCATAAATCAACTAACTGTATTATTCCAGGCTTATTTAAAGGTTTCTGGGCTTGTCCACTTGTTGATGATAAGCACGAGAAAGATTCTGACAAGTGAAACTTACAACAAAGTTAAACTAAAACATTCTAAGGGTTCAGAATTTAAATAAATACAGTCAATTGCAGGGAAAAAAAAAACATTCAAAATTGATTCTTGATTCTAAAGCACATGACAAAAAAACAACATACACACACTGACATAGTAGCACGGTTTAAAACACCTTTGACATACAGTACATAAATGCAAAATTAAACAAATAAATGGTAAAAATACTAAATAAAAAAAATTATAATAAAGTAGTAAATAAATAAATACATTTAGGCATTTAAAACAGCCTATAGTAAAAAGTAAAGTGTTCAATACAAATAAATAAATATAATAATAAAATATAAAAATATATATTCCTGTATAATGCAATTTAACATTTGTAATAACAACAGTAACAATGAGTACAAATATATTACTATATAACATTTACTACTACTATTATTTTTATTATTATAATAAAAATATTGAAATGGGGAAATAACAGTACAAATTAAAAATAGACACTAAAGGGACAAAAAATTAATATAATCATAATCAATAATAATAATTGTAAATATTATACATTAATGCAATATTTTATTATTACTATTATTGTTATTATTAGCAACATAACATTAATATAATAATAATGTATTAATAATAATGACGATAATAGTAAATATATATTAATGCAATATTTTATAATTACTATTATTGTTATTATTAACAACATAAAATAAATATAATAATAATAATAATGTATATATAATAATAATGATAATAGTAAATATAATATATTATTGCAATATTTTATAATTACTATTATTGTTATTATTATTAACAATATATAATAATAATAATAATAATAGGCAATAATATTGAAACAGGGAAAGAACAGTGCAAATTAAAAACTGAATCTAAAGTGGCTAAAAAGAGTGTATTTCAAGACCAAGAACACTGTGAAAGCAAAGATAATTGTTTTGGTCAATTGATTCACATTGAATCCTTAATGGTACAGTAAATTCAATGCATTGCATACAAAGTCATGCAGAATCAATCTGGGTGACGATAAACGGTCTAAACTAATTGTTCAGCCCAGATTTAGATGAGCCTTAAACAGCAGTGCTATGCCTTACAATTCATCGTCAGCAGTAAATATGGACTCATCCATTTAAAACCTCTCAGGATCAGCATTCCCCTGTTCATATGCAAACAAATCACATCACAAGGTTTGGAAACCTGATCTAGGTGTAAGAACTGTTCTTATTGAGGGCACCCAAAAAGAGCACTGCTGATTGGCTGAGCGGTGCAGCGGGTGTATTTCTGTAGCGGCGCTTCATTGAGACAATTGCGGTGTAAGCTAACACCCCGGGGACGGGAATACCCTGCTGTCGCCCTGCCAGCCCAATGTAAACAGGAGAATCAACTCGCCCCTTAGCAGACTCCCGCGAGGCAGGAAGGGCCACTCGCAAACAAAACGCTCATTAGCAAACACAAGACGCTGAATAGACACTAGTCACCGCCTGTAGAGTCTGTGCCGTGTTTACAGAGAGCGAAATACTTCCTCTGGTTCCGTACACGAGTTCAGAAGGCCGCAGTTTAATAAACACTGACATTTCCATGCATATCTGGCAGCTGAAATGTTCTGACAAAACACAGGCTGTGTTTTAAAGCAGCAGAACTGGTATGTTTTTTCCATTCTGTATGTAAAACAGACATACCACAAGCCTTGTTCACAAGACAAGATGAAAATACTTGAAAACACAGCCGAAACTTTCCAGAGCAGCTGCTGTAAAAATTCTGGGTGAGTATTCAGGATGTTTTTGCTTCTGCAAACATTATAAAACATTTTTAATATCTGAAAACATTCCACAGCAAACACGTTCAGGCGGAAAGAATTTGGAATTGCCAGGATACTCCATTTCATACTTTTGAAAACTTTGGCGTTTTGTGTTTAGCGCGAGGTTCCGTCGGGCCTCAAATCTGGTCTGTATAGCTGCAGGTCTGGCCAGGGTCCCTGCCGCAGCGCCCGTTTTAAAGGCCTGTGGTGTGAAGCCTTCCTGCTCTGAGCGTGACCACATCCACCAGGGCACAAACCCTCACTCATAAAGGCATCATTTCAGCTTATGTGTGTCCCTCGAGCAGAGACACGGAGACTGACCAGCGCGGCTCAACTCACACGGCCAACCGCACCAGCTAGAAAGTATGTCCACTTGAATAGAGACGGTTAGAGTGAGAGCATCTGGCTTCTGAAAATATCTCTGAACAGAGGAATTCCTCTATAAAAGATCTGGAGGCCTCTTCTCTCTCAGTCTTTGAAAAATAATCAGTGTCTGAGGAACAACAGAGGCCTGATGGTGAGCATCTCCAGCTAGAGCAAACGGCATAGGTTGCAAAAACTGCTAAACAGAGTTTCTGATGTGAATTACATAAAAAAAATTAAAAAAATAAAAAAAGAGAGCGAGAGCTTTCCAAAATTCACAGGCTCTGTTTGCCGGCATCATTTATGGCATTTATTGATATTCTAGATTTTAAACAGAGTTGCAATTTAAAATGTGATTTATATAACACAAAAAAAATCTAAATTTTTACTGTGCTTGTTTGCACAATTTGGTTCAAATTTCTGTGATTATGCATCGATATGACTATAACAACAACAACAACATATATATATATATTTTTAAAAATATATTTATTATTAAATATTTATAACTAAATTAAAGAGAACCTATAAAGCAAAATTCACTTTTTTTATTGTTTTTGAACATAATTTATGTGCCTGCAGTGTGCGTACACAACCACACTATTGTGATAAAAATTCATCCACTTTTTTATTTTCCCCATAAACACTAAATCAGAAATTGTGTTTAAAAATGAGCCATTCAAGGAATGTACTCAAAAGTGATTCATTACTTTGAATAGGCCCCGCCCACGACTGGTAACAATCTCTGACTTATTAGCTTAGCTCCTCCCTTAAGTGAGCTGTACACAGTCCACCATGTTTATCTCCCTTTAAAATCAGAATTCAAGAAAGAAATTCATTCTTATAAAGCTACTAAAGTTATTCAAGAGCAGAGTGATTTTCTGTTTTTGTTTTGCTGTTTGATTCATATTAACAACACAGACAGCAATAGGTAATGTACATTGCGCTGCTGTCACACACATCGAATACACACATACGATTTATTTCCCAGCTGTTTACATTCACAGACATAACCAACTGCATTTATGTGTTTTTGACATAACCTTGCTTGTATTTGACAGTTTAAGTGTAATAAGACAAGAAAGAGAACACGTGGCGCACCAACTGGCAGCCAGCTTTTTGTGCGCGCACTTCGGATGTGTGCGCTCAGAACACCATATATCAGAAGTTTACACTGATATGACGAAGATGATGATGTCGAAGAACAGCAATGTCACGTGAGTGTGACTGAGATCAATATGATAACCAAGACCAAACTGAGAGTATCCGAGGCGCAAGCAGCAAAGGCTCTGCGGAAAAGTGGGCGGAGATTCATTTGCATTTGAAGATGCATGCACCAAACGCAAAGCTTCAACAGAGAAAAACATGTTCCCAGCAAACGAATAGCGCCGACTGCAGTTACCCAGTTAGTTTTTACCGGCTGTTATCGGAAGAGCTTTACAAAATCCACAAGCTCCAATCTGACTGGCTCCTAAAATCACTTCCAAGGAAGTTTGTGGGCATCATTTATGGTGTTTTGAGACACCTTGTAACATGTAAACAAGACATTAAGCTACCTTTAAAGGCATAATATGTAAGATTTTCATAATAAAATATCCAAAAACTACTTGCACAGTGTGATATATTTCATGCAGTTGTGTATTTATGTTATCCCAAAAGTTCCCAAGGAGTTGTAAATCCAGAAAAATTCAAATTTTAAATAATGACTCGTCCCTGGTCATTGTCGCCTATCAATGACGTAATATCCGCACTATCCTCATTCTCCGTTTGTAGAAACTATGGCAACACAGACACAAACGCTACTGTACAGTTAAACTAAATCCGTTTTTGGCTGTTGAGACAAAATTAAATGAAAAGTGTTGACCGCAGCATTAAATTTAGATCTGCTCAACGTTGTGCCATGATTTTTTTTTACACGTTTTTACAGTGTTGCGCATTATAACCAATCACACACAAGTCCGTTGAGCTTATGAATGCAATGGTCAAACAGAGGAGTTCAAATTAGGGTTTTTTTGTTCACTGCATGCACTCGCTGACTGAATTCAGCTCTCACGTGAATTCTCTCATCATAAACAACAAAGACAGATGTACGTATTATGTAGGCCTAAGAGATTCATTCATAAAACCGTGTATAGACAGCTTTACAGAGTATAAGGGGAGTTTTTTGAGTGCTTAAACTTACGCTAGACTTAAGTTAGTCAATGTTCTTTGACAATGTATGTTCTTTGCTCACATTCTCTGTATAATTTATTCGCTGTTTGAATAACTGTGGAAGGTACAGGTAATAAAAATAATAATAATTACCTCATCCGTGAGCATCCTCCTTCATAGCATGGCTTCAAGCTTCGCCTTTGTTATTGTTTTGAAAATGTGACCTCTAGTGGCGAAAACCTACATATTGTGCCTTTAACCTCAAAGACAAGTACTTCTAAACATCAACATGCAAGGTGGTTTTCGAGTGACTTACCTCAACGTCCTGCCGGCTGAAGTCGTTCTGGTCTTTGAAGTTAGCCGCGCCTGCGCTGAGCTCCATCAGCATTTTGCCGATCTCGGGCTTTATTGCTGTGGTGAGCCGGCTGGTCGTTTCCATGACATGTTCCTGCACGTCCTTCAGTTGCATAGCTGCTTTGGAGTAACGCGAGTCCCGGAAAACGCTGCCAAAGAGCTCGGTCAGGAACGCGCTTGCGCGGCAGAACGCGTTCAGCGCATCCAGGTATTTGGAGATGCCTTGCTGGATGTCCGCGATCGCCGTGGTGGCGCCGGGGGGCGGGGCGTGGCAGACAGAAGGGGAGGAGCCTATGGTCGCCATGGGAGAAGGGGTGGAGCAAGAAGAGCCCAACGGGGCGCTGAGGGTCCGACTGAGCTCGGGCAACTGGAACTGCTGGTGTTGCTGCACTTTGTGCTTGGACCCGCCAAGCAAAAAGCGCAGCTTGTAGTCCATTTTACTTTCTTGTGCACTGCAACAATACATAAGCATTAAATGCGCCCAGGGAGTAACGGTCCTCTCGACTTCACCTTCGAATGAGTTCTGGATGCCTAATTTGGGACTCCTGGAATCAAGTAAATAGATAGCTTAAAGATCCCATCAGAGGGGAAGTCATGACAGTATCCCGCTCCAGAGAGAGATGGAGAGCGGCACGATGGAAGGTTCAAGGAAATCTTGCAGCCCAGCTGCAGCTCCAGACGCAGCTCACATCAAAATTTTTGCGCAAAAAATGACAAAAGATTTCACTGAAACTTAGTTTCCTTTAGAAGTGGTTCACAGGTGCCTCATGGGAAAATACGATCTAGCTTTAATCCTGGATGAAAATCCAAAGTGCATAATCAATCCTTCATACGGAAGCGAAAAACCCTTCTTTCCCAACGCTTTCCGTAGCCCTCTAATAAAAATAGAAAAATCTTAAAAATCTCTCAGCAAAAAACAATATGAATTTTCAGGAGAGGAAAAACAGTGACAGGATTGGCGCGAGCTACGGGGTGATGTCACCTTGGCACGTTGCGGGCCTGCGCCGCTCTGACGGATCCAGTCGGTCAGAAGGTTTGTGAGCACTGTACAGCTGGTCTGGGCCGAGCGGGGGCCGGTTGAACAGACGCAGCTGCCGGGAGAGATCACCTGGCTCCCTCTTGATCAGTTTCCAGTGCCTGAGGTAGTTAATACTCACAACGGAAACAAATGTGCTTCCAGATAGGAGTCTCTCTGCAAACGCAGGCCGCAGAAACAAAAGCACAAACTATCTGTAAGGCCTCTCAGTCATTTCCTGCAAAAGAGACAAAGAGAAAATGTCAGTGAGATATCACAGGGAGGATGTGTTTTGACATTAGTTTCCAAGCGTCTCCTGGAGATTTGATTCAGGCGTTGGTTTTCAAACAGTGCACTGATTACAGTGTATTAGAGAGAGTTTCTCTGGTCATTAAACCATCAACTGTATGAGGCCTAAATTATACTCTTGCTGCATTTGTGTGCAAAAAAAAAATCTAATATTTTAGCACAGTAATAAAAATGGTGAAAATTGTGTGTAAAGAAACCAGTGTCGTTAACTATAACAAAAACTATTAAAAACAGATTGTGGTAAAAAAAAAAAATAAAGCTGAATAAAAATAAAATAAATAATAAATGAAAAATGGAAACAAACTAAAATAAGTGTGCGTTGAAGTACTCAAATAACTAAAACTGAAAAATAAAAAAACAGAATAAAAAGCATAAAAAACTAAATTATTAAAACAAATTAAATAAAAAAAAATAAAAGCTAGGTCAATCAGACGCAAAAGACACAGTCCAATAATCCGACGCTTTTTGACAGGCTCTCAGTGTGAGCGCGCCTCTTGAGTACGCGCTCAGAAAAAGCGCATGCAGAACAGCATATGAATTAAATGTTTAAACGGTATTGCTTTAAAGCAGATGGAAATAGTGTAGTTTTGTGATTG